GGCTTATAATAGGGAATACTCTAACCCTGGGAACCGGGGCCTGGCCATCCTTCGTTTGCGGTCGACGTTTCGGCAAAGTTTGTCCGTCGACAGCTGAATGTTTCGATCTGGTTCGATTTATGGTCGCATCTGCAAACGTTTTCCCGTGGGCCGACGCCCCCCCAGTCTAGGCATTGATCTATATCACTTCAGAAGAAACGATATAAAAGTACTTACCTTCTCCTTGGTGAGTCGAAGTGGGGTTCCGTCCTCCCTTGCCTTTGTTAGTTCTTATATTTTCTTTCATTGGCTAGCAAGGTACGATTCTTTTCTCTTTCATAGAGATCTTCCCGCTCTTTTTTGCTTGGTACTTTTTTCATTTAAGCAAGTACTTTCCTAAGCCTAAGTTAGTGCCAGAGGCCAGAGTGAATGAGTGAATCTTGATCTGTATTCAAGGTATGCCCTTTCCACTTCTGTTATAATAGAGACTTCGGTTAAGCTGATAAGGGCTGGTTAGCGAAGTCAATCCTTTGCTTGGTTCCTAGGAAGGTCGGAGATCAGAGCGCACTCACATCCCTTGCAGTCACTGATGACCACCCTACGTTTGCTTCTTCTTGCTTAGAGCTGAAAACCGGCAATGTGAATTAGTCAAAAACTTGAGTTAGGGGCTGCGAAAAAATCAAATCGTATATTGGTTTTTAATTAAAATGCTTTCTTTATATGTACGGGCCCTTGCTTTTAGACCCGATTTGTCGACTTTTCATCTGCCCTGCTCTTAGCTCGGGGTTCTTGCTTAATGGAATGAGGCGTCCCTTCTTCCTTCTTTCGCAATACTTCCTGTCTCCCATGCTCCGCTTCAATCTCTTGCTTGCTTTGGTGCCTGGTCCAAGGAAAGGAGTCCAAGTCTGCCTTCGAATAAGCAATCAAATCACAAAGGCTAGCCTTAAATAGAAGGGCATAGGCTCAGCTCCTAGTTGGGGTGGGGGACTCCCTCTCTTTCAGTGCATTAAGGATTACTGTTAATATGCTCTTAATGGATTTCAAAAAAAAAGAATTCATCTTTGCACAGTAGTCAATTTCCCGCCCGTTCTGCTCCTTGAACAGACCGGCGCTGATATAAAGCTCCATGAGCCTTTCTGTGTCCGGGGAGGCAACACGGACTCCAAAGATCCAGGCCCGGTCTCAAGAGTTGTATCTCCGTCCGAACCCGTACGTACTAGCCTCTCTATACATACTCCCATTCACGTTATTATTCCCGACCTTATTGACATCTCGCTCTGCGTCCGTCCCTTTCCCATATTAATATTAGCCAAGTCTAAGTCCATTGGGTGGGAACCTTTCCCACAGGGTAGTACGGTTAAGCCGAGGCAGGCGAGGTTGTAGGTGAGCGCCTTTCTCGCCCTGCGCATTTGGTTGGCAGGGTGCTCAAGGGCACTTGGTGTGGTCTGATTGGTATATTGGTTGTTCTAAATGAAGGTACTCGAAGTCTGCCCACAAAAACTTCCATTTTCTATATGGGCCTCCGAGATTCTTTCGTGCTCTTTCTTGGCTCTGTAGACCGACCAGCGAGGCGTCCCTCCATATGTGGCTTAGCAGGCTCAGCATCAGTAACAATCTAGGCGGCTACCCTGTCTCATATGGGTTGAGAATGTTAGGTCGAGCACCTCCCTCGAGTTGGTGTGTTATCTCAGTACCTATGGCACCAATAACAGGGACAGGGGGCCCAGTCAGCGTACTATAGATTTAAACAAACGTAACCAATCCCAGACCCAACAGGGCAACGTTTTTTCCTTCCCTCGAACCAACAACTCCAGTTTTTCCCAAGTCTGAAGATAGATATGAATCCTCCGCCTCAGATGAGCGGATTATCTAATTTTTCCGCTTTTTGGGTATGTGTCTTTTCCGTTTCCCAGAGATGTGTGTGATCAAAGCCTTTCGGGCGGAATAATATATTACACCGGATTCTGGTATGGTAGCATCGGTAGAAGTACAGCTCGTCCTGACCCGTGAACGGCCTTAGAAAAAGGTCTTTTGCACTTGGGTGACGACATAAGGTTTGACGAGCATTCTCGGGTGGTAGAATGGTGTTGGGACTATTGAAACTGTCGATCTCCAACTTGAAGGTGGGCGGGAGATAGATAAGGCCTGCAAGGGCACTGTCTAGTGTTCTTCTCGACTCGATTATCTTGTATGAGCTGAGTGGTAGACCAATCCTACCATAACGAAAGGGGTGAGGAAGAAAAACAAAGATCAACCTACTACCAAAAGGAAAGGTGATACCCCGCTGAAGGCAGCAAGCACCATCCACTTGCTGGAACGAGGCCTTTCTCAACTCTTGGTCTATTGACGCTCTTCCGGTCAAGTCCTTGGTAACTTGACTCCACAGGGCTCATGCAAAAAAGCGACTGGGTTAGTTTGGCCTTTAAAGCTGACCGAAAGACGTTATACCTAACGAACTAGCGCAGCTGTGGGACTCTCGCTAGTATTGACTTCCTGGACTAGTACCGATGGTGGCTCCTCATCCGAGGAGTAATGCACCTGTAAAGGGAGGGCATTCAGTCCAGCATCCAATCAGCAGCTGGACTGTAAAATAGATACAAGAATGATTATAGAGTTCCCATCTTTCCCGATTGGCTCTGCTTTTCTCGAATGCAGGTATGAAACCAGGAAACTCGCCTTAATTAGTAAATAAAGCGGAAACAAACCTGTGGGATAAGTCAGCAAATCACATCATATATCGGATATCGCATCGGAAAGAGAGATTGATTCTCCCTTCCGGGCAAGTCCTGAGGAACGTCGACTTGATAGTCTTTATCCCCACTGGGTAAGTGGGAATCTGATTCATTGATTTGATTGAACCTAGCGGGTAGCGCGCTACTTCAAAGCTTGCACCCGGCAACTCCTTCCACTTCTCCCAGGGACAGGGACTACGGCTTGACCTTCGGGGAAGAACTCCGTGGGACCCCTCCTTTCCTTCTAGGGCGCCTAGATAGTGAAAGGTTATCCCTTTGCAACGCTGGAAGCTAAGCAAAGTCACGAAGCTGGCTGACTACGCTCGAGCAGAGCTCAGGCCCGGAGGTGGTGGCTGAACTCGCCGCAGAGTTCAGGAGCGAGCAAAACTATCTTGGTGAATGCAATAAGAATCGGCTGCTTGCCGCAGCAGAGTGCTTTGCCCATGCTGCTATCCGCCGCCGAAGCGAAGAAGGGATTCGTGCTTGGATGTCGAGATCAGGGGACTCTATCCAATCCATGCGGCGAAAGATATTTGTGGTGGAACAAACTCAATCAATAAATATATATATATATTTGTTTGCTTCGATACAAGAGATCGGCCCCGAAGCAAGGTATGGTGGGTGCCAGCAACTTCCGTACCGTACACAGATATAGATTCATTCTTCGTACCTGGTCCAACTTCACAACCCTTCGCGGGTTGGTCAGAAGTCAGTCTTGTTTGGTAAGACGGAATTGGACAAAGCAAAGAAAAGAGAGTGCTCGACCGGAACAACGGCCAACAAAGACCGTAATTACATAGATAACTGCTCCTCCCTTTCCCTTTCTCCGTTTAAGGCTTTAAGGCGAACCGTATGGCGGCCGGAAAGAAAGACGACCTAACCTTCTCGTAGATGGTGTCAGTGAGAGCAACTTGAGTATCCCCCGTTGACCTTCTTTTTTAGATAGAATCTTCAATGAGTGGAAACAAGCAACCTTACTAATAAAGGTGCGCTTGTTGAGTAAGGCCGGCTTTCGAGCCCAAGCCCCTTTAATATGATGAGGAGAAGAGGGGCCGCCCTCTTTTCTTTTCTGCACCAATCAGACTTCGTTTCACTCGTTTACTACTATATTTCTTTTTTTTGGGTGTATAGCTCAGTTGGTAGAGCATTGGGCTTTTAACCTAATGGTCGCAGGTTCAAGTCCTGCTATACCCAAACCTACCTTACTACAACATAAGGACAGAAGGTAGGAAAGAATTTCTCACTCTTCTAAGCGGAGTTATGTCAAAAGGACAAACGAGGATGAAGGAGGAGCAGGAGTAGGAGCTAAAATTCGGACGGAATCGCGAGATAGACAATGAGAAAAAGCCAAGAGGGGAGAGCACTTAGACAATTCACTTTGAGTACAGGGAAGTCTGCTGGTAGGAATTCTTCAGGGCGTATTACGGTTTTTCACCGAGGGGGTGGATCGAAGCGATTGCAGCGAAGAATTGATCTGAAACGAAGCACTTCGTCTATGGGCATTGTAGAAAGGATAGAATATGACCCTAATCGTTCTTCTCGGATCGCTCCAGTACGATGGATCGAGGGGGTGCAGCTACGCCGCCAGAGGAAATGCAACACGATAGAGGAGTTCGCTCCGCCGCGTAAGATCCTCGAACCTACCACGACCACCATCCGCGGCCTATTTTCGTTCTCTTCCCTGCCCGGGAAGGTGGATCAAAGAAAGGTAGCTTGCTTCTCTCCTGGACGGATGGCGGCTTATGTAGTGGTCGGCCTTCCTACCAGAATGCCCCCTTGGTTGAAGAGTAAGGGCGCAGGAAGCAAAAAAACTTGCGCGAAGGACGTTTTCTTCTCTGCCTTCTCCTCTCCAAAGGCCAAGGGAGAGACTGCATCCCTTTCTTTCGGTAGCTCTTTTGCTTTCCCAAGGATAGCGGTAGCTGGGGCAAAGCCCGCTTTCTTCGCTCCGCGAATGAGAGAGAAACTCAGAGGAAAAAACACGTTCTCTCTTTGCGAGGTCCGACAGTGGAGAACGCATAGCATTCTCTGGGCACATAGGATCAAACGTAAAGCAGCGCTTTCTCTAAAGAGTTTTAGAGGGCAAGATACTTTAGGGCTTGTTGGAGCTGCTGAGCATAACGAATCGAAGCCAAAGACGGATCAAGGTAGCTTGCCTGCCAAGCCGATAGGCGAAGGGCCGAAGGATGGAGCGTGCAAAGTCGATCGTGCACCTGTCGTGTGACCCGTTGGTCCTAAGCAATGTCTTGCGCGAAGCGACCCACCTAGAAACAGCTCTCCTTTATGTTAGGGGGCACTAAAATGGAACTTCGATCGGATGCGGGTATCCAATCCCGCCGCTGAGATGTCCAGCGGATTCCTGGGCCTTGACGAATGGCCGGCCACCTTTTACGTTAGAAGAGCAAAAGGCCCGGGGTATAGCAGGATGAACCAATGTGAATGAGTGTAAGCTTCGTTGCCCGAACACGATTGGTGCTGACCACACTAGGTGCTACCGTGGTAGCAAGAGAGGCCAGGCGGTGACAATTGAGAGGTTGTCACTGAGCATTCCTAGTCACACGGGAAGAGAGGTCAAATGGCAAGGCAAGGCCATACGCCCGTTTGGCTCCTCGCGGAGTATAGCTCACATCCAAACATCTGATTGGGGAACGGGGCAACGCCCATGAAGCTCCGGCAGAAAGGGAAGGCCTGCCAGGCCGTATGCCCATGGGTGCAGGATTCTTCGAAAAAGCGCGGGCTGACTCGGAGACCTGGGACCTTGGCTTAGCAACGAATGAAGGGGAGCTCTTCGAGCTTTCTCCGCCAGCGGCTTATGTAGTGGTCGGCCTTATAAAGCTCGCTAAGCTTCGCTTCCCTCCCCCTTAAACAATGAAGTGGAAAGTCTTCACTTAGTAGTAGTAGTCGGCATTCTATAAGCGACTTGTCGAGTCTACGAAGCTTTGCTTCTTGTAGTCGGCCCAACCTTCCTCTCGCTTCGCTCGAGATACTTCGTACCCTCTCCTTTCAGTCGAGAACTTCATGCCTCTCCCTATCGGTCGAGCTCAATCAACCCTCTCGCAAAGCTCGAGCGACTACGTTCCTCCCTTCATTTGCTTGCCTCCTCCCAGCTCAGAATGCCTAATGCCTATTATCTTATCTAGTTCTAGAAGCTAACCGCCAGAAGCTCACCCTTCGGGTCTCGCTGGAAGCGCGGGAGGCCAAGCATTCTGCGTCACGTCCCGGCCTGGGAGCCCCGTTCGCCTTTGGTACTTCAGTAGATCTTCAAAAAAAAAGCGCTACTTCAATGCAGCCTTAACTACAACTACATTACGCAAGCTCCACCAATACCTATACCTACCTATAGAGTCAAAAAAGTACCAGTGACGGTTACTTTGACGGTTTATGGATTCAGTCAGCTAAACTCCTCAATAAATATCAACAAACAACATGTCGTGACCGGTTAGGCTTGGTTTACTTTGTAATGAATGTAAACTAAAATGGGTGGCGTTTATTCAAAGAAAGGGAACCGAAGGTTTCCTTATAGTTCAATGGCTCCCACCCACACTCAGCTAAGAGCGTAGGAGACTGCAACGGGTTGTGAAACCCCATTACAGTAACAAGGAGTTGCATGGTTCCTTTTCACAATGAGGAGGACTAGTAACCGTAGGTAATACCCCACAAGTCTAATCTAGGCCAACTTCCTGTACAATATCATAGAGACGCCATAGTAGACCCCAACGCACTAATAAAGGATCAGTGCGTCGGACATACCAATGGGACTCCACAAGAGGACTATCCAGGAAAGCCTCAAGTGGGACCGAGGGGTCCATAGATAGCAAGCTATACCACTTGACATAGCCTAACCATGACTTCACCCAATTCCTTAATTGAGAGTACTCCAAGAAGCTTAAACAAGAAGCATCCCCTCAAACTCAAAGAGCTCAAGAGGAGGAGTCTTTAACTCACGGGGAGCTAACCTCTCCAATAAGTACCTTTTAAGTTTCCCTAAAAGGTATGGGTTTAAGGGAAGGCCACCATCAAGGAGCAAATCCATCGGTAACTTAGTCCTTCGGAAAAGAAGCCGAAACCGACGCCATTTGGCCGATTTAGACTTTTTCCCAGCAGAGCGAGTTCGGTAACCTGCTCCACCAATCCGCATCAAGAGATAATAATCCTCCACATGAGACTTCTCCCTAATGGCCATAAGACCATAAGGGTGATGGAAGCCAAGTAAGGTTCGCATGGATATCGGGGATAAATCCACCTGCATACCCTTAACTAAGAACCTCTTAGCGAACTCGGCAGCACCTGAAGACGACACCAACGACTTGTGATAAGAAAGATTAACACCAAGTCGTTGAAGAGCTAACCTGTACTACTCAGCAACCAGTGGATCGGTGATGAGAACATCATCACCTAGCACTGCATACCTATCGAACCGGACCCCTGGTCTAACCTGCTCCGCTGCCCACCACACCAGTAAATGGTGCGAAAAGGCAAACAGAGGCCAAGAGCCATAATATCCCAACGGTTGACCAGCAACGAACGAAAAGCGTACCGCCGGCACAATAAACAGATTCGTCGCAAGAGTGCTATTAACAACACTCGATGCGAATGACCGGTCAAACAGTAGGGCAACTTTTTCAAATAGATAGACTAGTGGCCACCTATCTGTGGCACTCTTCAAATCATAACTGAAACAGTTGTCGCTGGGAACTAACCGACGCAAGGGTCTAAGTTGATCATAGGTGCCGTCCATTGGAATGGTCTTCAATATAGACGCAAACCAACAGTGCACGGGTCTTAATAACCAAAGGTTAATATAGTTACCAATTGCGAATATACGACGCTTTCCAGCTCCCTCAAGAGAACAACCTAGTCGCCCCGGTACCGGGGGAATCCCAAGGTCGTCACAAGACGGTAGAAGAGGACCTATTTGCCTCTCAAACCAGTCTAAATCTTCTGGTGTGAACTTTTTATTATTCACATCAAAAGCGTAACGAACCCTTGGAGGCCAAAGACAGCCCTGATAAAATTGCTCACCTTTTGCATGAACTTTGTTCATAAGGAACTGAAAGGCCCCCAACTCATGAGGAAAAGACGTGAAAGAAGAACGGAAACGAGAAACCTGAGAAGGTTTCAGTTTCATACGTTCAATCCACACCCTTTTCGTCAATGAGTGGGTTGGTAAAGTTTTCCAGGTTGGTTCAAACGTAAGCCCTTGTTCAAGGGGAATACGTTTTATCCAGGGAACATAGCGATTAACCAGGCGGTTAAAACATTCTTTGATTGAACCGACTAGCTCCAAGACTGAATCCATGTCAGTCACTGGTGTCACTATGCTTGCAAAAGTGGACTTATCAACCTTCTTGGCCAAGGTAATAACCTTAGACAAAGAAAAAATTGACAAATACCATTTTACAAGTAAATCAGACTTTTCGTCTCTCCTCCGAATCATCGCACGATGATGAGGCGGAATAATCCGAGGGAGCCCAGACCTAGTGAGGGAAACTGGAAGCGCACCTGAAGGGTGGACGAATTCATCTCCACCATAGGCCATCATTAAGGCGGAGGCCGCTTGTTTGAGATATAAGGCACAAAACAGCCAACCAGACTTGCGGCCCAACTGAAGGATGCGTTTAGCAACACCGAAGGTTTCCTTGGTACTTTAGTAGTACGACTGTTGTTATACTACTATTAATATTAAGTAGCTGTACAACAGAATGCCGTTCGCCTTGACTTTAGTATTGAGTAGTACTTAAGTAGCTAAGTTTCCAAAGGTGGGTGAACAGCCCCCTGTCCTTTATAGTCGTAAAGGGCTTCTCAGAAAAGTAAGGAAGGAGGCATTCGAAAGGCCGACCACTATATCATAGGCCTTCTGGTGGGAAGGCCGACGACTACACGGACTCTATACCAAGTCATGAGCGATAGCGAAGCCAAGCCGCCGCCTATAGGCGAAAGGACGAAAGCCCCACGAAGGCCTATGATATAGTAAGAAAGAAAGTACGAAAATAAGTACGTTAAGGTTACGAAGTCACTTAGCCGTCTACAAAGGGAAAGGCGTCGGTACGGAGTCACGTCAGCTGTGGATATAGACTAGGCTATAAGGAAGAGAGTCTTAAACTATGGACCGAGACTACACTAAGGAACAAGGAAGCTTGACTGAGCAAAGAAGTCAAGGAACGAAGCTGCTTCTCTAATAGCCCCGTTGAATAGGAGGCGAGGGTTTTTTGAAAAAGTCTTTTTTTTGTGTAAATGCATTTTTTTTAATTTCTATTTAGAGAGAGGGCTTCAAGTTCTTAGGAAGAGCCGTACGAGGCAGCTCACGTACGGTTCGGGAGCCGAGCCCCAGCACAGGCAGGGGCTTAGGTCAACACTTATATAATAGCCAGTCATCAATTGGAAGCGGGCAAGATGGTGATGAATTGCAATTGGTCTAAACCTTCGACCAGCGACTTATTGCGACCCGCCCAGAATGCCAATACATACTAAGACCTTATTCACATCAGGAGGTTTGAAGACGCTCGACTGATAAGGAGAGGTATGAAATCACTCGAGCGAAGCGAGAGGCATGAAGTTCTCGACTGAAAGGAGAGGGTACGAAGTATCTCGACCGAAGAAGCAAGGGTACGAAGTAGCTCGAGCTGACGCTCGAGCGACTCCGCACGTTGCGCGTTAGCAACAAGCACCGGCCCGAGCGCAAACGCGCGAAAGCCGGTGCGCCTTAGACGAAGAAGCAAGGGTACGAAGTAGCTCGAGCTGACGCTCGAGCGAAGAAGCAAGGGTACGAAGTAGCTCGAGCTGACGCTCGAGCGACTCCGCACGTTGCGCCTTCGCGCATCCCTTTTCTTGCTCGTTGCGCCTTCGCGCATCCCTTTTCTTGCTGGGAGAGGAACGTATGGCAGCTCGAGGAGGAGCTAGGGCGGACCCAAGAAGCCCAAGAACGGGATAGGGCCCGAGCCGTAGAGCGACAAAGACTTTGGCAGGACATATATAAAATCCGCCAAAGAAGTCAGGTTTTCAAAATCGAAAAGGAGATTCAGAATTAATGAAATTCAATATCAGCAAGACCGACGAAGAAGATTCGGTCGTGGGTAGAAACTTTGCTTGGGCCTTTCGTTTTCGATTCCCATTAGCCGGGTCGCCTTAAAATTCGCTTAGTAGCTTAACTCTTTCTACTGGCGTGGCGCTGCTGGATGCTTCTGATCAATAGAACAGGAAAAGGAGTCAGCCAAAAAGAAAGACCACCAAAAGTAACGACCACCAAGATACGCATAGTGATTCGATCTTTTGATCACCCATTTTTGGAAAAC